CACCCCCCTCCCCTCTAGAACCCTCAGTTTGTTTTTCAGAGTCCATCGTCTCTCATGGTTCGTCTACCCCTCCTATTGGAAGATTTTTATTAACACGGTCTTTTCCCTTCCACGACCCCTCCATTTACTTCCTGGTCTCTCAGACCAAAAATAAACAGTTAATTTATTTACAAATCTGTAACCCTGCTTGACACATAGGTGTTGAATAAATAAGCCATCTAGAAATAGCTGTATGACTAGTCCTCCATTGTTATGGAGTCTCACCCAGGCCCAACCAGATCATAAGTGATATGGGGACGAGGGCGGTCCTGAGCACCCAACATTGCTTGATCACATGTTAGTGTGTATGGTTGGGTTTCTACACCCATTTCAAGTTGATTTTTCATAGCACCAGACACTTAGGCCATGTTGAAAGAGACAGAAATGCTCATGTATTCCTGATGCTTGTGGCTAAGAGTTAAATGATTATTCGGGGCTTCAGATAACACTGGTCTTGGAACCTATCATAGGGGTGTCCACGCTCACCTTGGTCTGGTACCAGGACTCGGCCTCGGCCCGGCTGCGGTTGGCGATGTCCTCATACTGGGCCTTGACCTCGGCGATGATGCTGTCCAGGTCCAGGCTGCGGTTGTTGTCCATGGACAACACCACGGACGTGTCGCTGACATGGCTCTGCATCTGGGACAGCTCCTGTGGAACCAGAAAACTCAGAGTCACCAAGGCATAAAAAGAAAGGTTCTTGAAATCATGCGACTGACTACCTGTCTAGGTCATCCCTAGCAGGGACTCTTCCAGCCCTTCTCTGGGCACTCGAAGCTATTTAGGGACTCCCATGCTGAGCCCTGAGAAGTTTCTGGGTCACAGATCAGTGCGATGGGTGTGTGTCTCCCAGTATAGCTTCTCAAGACCCCCACCTGTGTGTTTTCCCTGAGTATGAAGAGTGGGTCAATGTTCTCTGGTCCAAATTATATTGAGTTGACTATGACATATGTTGATTCATATGCCAGCATAAAAGGTTCCTTCAGGATACAGTGAGTTTGGGGACCCTGCTTCTCCCTGTACAGTGTGACTTCATCACTCTCTACTTCTCTCTCCCCTTCAAAGACCCAGGTCTCTGCCTTCACAGTGGCAGTGCCCAGAATGAGGCATCTTCAGAGGGCAAGGAGCACCCTGACCAACGAGCTGAGGGGCAACTTGCCTTTTCTGAGCTTTTCTGGAAGGGGAGAGGGAGAGGTGTGTCTCGTTTCCTTGAGAATGCTACCCAAGGCCCTGGGATTCGAGAATCAGCACTCCCTGCTTGCTGTGCTGTGGGGCAGCAGGTGGGGGGGCGGGGCGGGGCGGGGAGCCTCAGAGCAGGAGTAGGGTTTACTGTGGCAAGATTTCAAGGAGTTCTCCCAGGTGCCCGTGACCACCCAAGCCCCAACTTTGAGCCTCTGGGGCAAGATGCTGGATGGAGGCCCCATGTAGATGACATTCTCTGCAGCATCCTTTTCTTTCCAGGCTCCAGACCTAGGAGGGACAAAAACATTTGCAGGCTCTTACGGCCTCAAAGACCATCCGGAAGAAGTTGATCTCATCAGTCAGAGAGTTGACCTTGGCCTCCAGTTCCACCTTGTTCATGTAGGCCGAATCCACATCCTAGAACAACAGCACAGGATGCTCCTCTGAGACCCCAGCCCCAAGCAGTGAGTCCAGAAGAAGTTGGACAGACTGACTCCTCCCTGGCCCTTCCAGGTTAGATTTTAGCAAACTCTGAGTCTGGGGCTTGGGGTTGGGGTGGGTGATTACAGAGAACTGGGGGCTTGAGTCCCCTGAGCTAACAGAAACCCTAGCAGGGTCAGGGGTCCATAAATACAGAGGGAGCATTTTGGCAGATTTGAGCTCTCCAGATACCCTCAAGGGTTATGTGCCATTTCTTGGGAGTCCCAAGGGTCGAGTCACTGCATACTCCAAGATTCAGTTTCGAATCTTCTCCTTTGAGAGACATTTCCACCCACCTTCTTCAGGGCCACAAACTCATTCTCGGCAGTGGTGCGCTTGTTAATTTCGTCCTCGTACCTGTAAGCACAGAGGAGAGGGGGCGTGCTGTTGAGCAAGCGGGCAGCTGAACTCTTCCCTGGCTGAGGAGCGTTTCTGGTGTAGCAAGAGTTAAGAGACCTCAGATCCTTTCTAGCTCTTCCACTGACCTGTGCGTGACTTGGGGTGATTCACTTAACCTCTATTTCTCCCTCTATAAAAGGGGAATCATTTCTTCTGCCAGAAGTTTTTTTTTTCTTCTTCTTCTTCTTCCTCTTCCTCTTGTAAGACTAGAAGGTGAGCATGGAACTTATGGGAATAGCAATATGTACTTATGACTCCATCTTATTAGAGATGCACAATTGCAATCTTTCACAAATGTTGCCTCAAGTGGCTGCTGGAACTGTGGGGCCGATTTTGCTTGTTCAGGAAGGAAATGGTTCCTAGTAGATTTTGATGTATTTTCACTGAAACTCAGAGCAGCTGTGTGTATGATCAGCATGCTTTTAGTAAATAAGAGCAGCTCTAACTCAGAAACCAAGGGTAAAGCAGCTATGGGATTGGAGGGAGGGGACTATCCCTTTTTGTTGGATACCTCACCTACTGCAGCCCGGATGATGGCCAAATTTTGCCTCCCCCAGGAGGATTGCTTCGCTTACACTGGGAATGTACCAGCTCAATAATAGGGACCGTGCCAGCAGAGTAAAAGAATATTCTGGCTGTGAAACGGTATTATGCTTTCCAGAGTAGCCATGTTATTTTAGATGATGCAGACATCCCTTTGCGGTCATGTGGACAGATTAGACTAGGCTCCTTGTTAATAGTGATGCGTGAGATGAGAGTCCCTTTGTTACCCTACACCATGCTATCTTCAGATCATGGGATGATGACTTCAAGTTCCAAACCTCCCTGCTGCCACTGGTATTTGCTGCTTTGCACTTCGCTGGTCCTTATAAAAAGGAGTCCTGGGACGATTGTGTGACCAGAAGCCCGTCTTCCCCTTACCTAACTTTGAAATCTTCCACGACGTCCTGCATGTTCCTCAACTCAGCGTCCAGCCTGCCCCTCTCTGTGGTGACGCTGTCCAGCTGCCGGCGGAGGTCATTGATATAGGTGTCAAAGAAAGGCTCCAGGTTCTGCCTCACCGTCTTGGAGCCCTGCTCCTGAAGGAGCTCCCACTTGGTCTCTAAGACCTTGTTCTGCTGCTCCAGGAACCTCACCTGGTGGGAGGGAGAACGAAATCTTGAGATATTGGGGGGCAGAGACAGACACTCCAACTAATAAGGGAGAGAAGAAAAATCCACCTTTCACCTGATAACCGTCTGTCAGCTATATAATTGACAACTCCAAATCAGAATGAGAAAGCCTTCGACGCTACCTCACCGTTCTCTGAGGCTTCCCTAGAACTGGTGTGGTGGGCTTGGAGGTCTCTAGGGGGAGACTCTACTCTTGGGTTGAGTGTCTTGACAATACCTGCTCTGGGTGAGGCTAGTTTGCTCAGTGGAAACTCCTCCTGTGGAGAACAACTTCATTCTTCCCTCTGTGTTGGCTGAACCAACCGCATGTCTCGCAGGGAGGATGAGGGAAATTTCCACAAGGTCCTGTGGGGCCACCTGGCCCCACTTGCGAGGTACTTGTTGAGTGGATGCATTTTTCCACAGGGAGGCCGTTGCATTACTGCTCCCTGTCCATGCAGGGGGCCTCTCCAAGAGTTCCTGCCACCTGACCCCAATGGCGCACATGCAGCCCCCCCGCTCACCTTGTCGATGAATGAGGCAAACTTGTTGTTGAGGGTCTTGATCTGCTCCCGCTCCTCTTTCCGCACTCGCTGGATGGTGGGGTCGATTTGCAGGTTGAGGGGAGTCAGGAGACTCTGGTTGACAGTGACCTCTTGGATGCCTCCAGGGGGGCACACAGGGAAGCCCGAGGCCCCGTAGCCTCCTCCGCCTGTGCCCCCATAGCCAAATCCACTGCTGACCCCGAACCCGCTGCTGGCCCTGCCACCAAAGCCACTTCGGAAGCTGCCGCCGCACCCCCCGATGGAGACCCGCCTGGTGCCCCCCAGGTTGTAGAGGCTGCGGCTCCCAAAGCCCGCCCCAGCGCTGCTCATCCTGCCCAGCCCTGCACCGCCTCCTGTGGAGCGGGCCACGGAGACGGAGCTGAAGCGGGAGCGGCCGGCCGCTGGGGTGGTGGCCGAGGCCGTGCTGAAGCTCCTGCGGCTGCCGGTCTGGAAAGTGATGCTGGACTGCCTGGACATGGTGGCTGAGTGAGGCCGGCGAGGAGAGCTCCTGACACGGGCGCGTGCGCCGGGGGATGGAGAAGACGGGGCACCTGGGGAGCCCTGGGCCGCCTTGGCTTTTATGGGCCTGCGGGAGGGGCGGGGCGCGGCCGAGGGAGGCCTCTGATGGCATCCCCCAGGCATTCGCCAGCCCTGAGCTCACGCTCAGCGCCCCTCCGAGACAGTGTCAAGGCCACTGGTTGGTTCCCTGGCATCCCTCCCCCACGTGGAAACTCCTTTCCAGTCGCAACTTGATCAGCAGATGAATGAGAAGCACGCTAATTGCTTTCAGTCATGTCCTAATCATGCATCTCCTAATGGGCTCTAAAAACACTGCCTTGTTTCTAAACCGCTTTCTTAGGCCTGGGACCCACTCCCTCCTGCGCAAACATCGTGTGTCAAAACAAGTGCCCACGATTCCCTGTTTCTCAGGCCTTCCTCTTCCCCGGCTGTGCTTCCTGCTCCTGAGCTTTTTCTCAGCAAGTGCCCGCTGTGTCCCCTGCCCCACGCTGTCCTTCCAGGTCCTAAAAATCCCGCTCCACATTCATCTTTCTCAGGACACCACCCAGTTTTGATTGCCCCCTTGTTTTCCTCAAAGCTTCCTTCTCTATCGTGTAGGTCACACCTGATTTCCTGGAACAGGAGGGCGTGTGCGCACACACACGCGCATACGCACACGTACGTCCTGTCTGCTCCACTATGGGACTCTCGGGACCAGCCCCTCTGTCTGCTGCGGAGGGAAGTTGTGAGTGCGGGAGGATGGGTTTGAGTCCCAGCCCCACCACTTACTAGTCGTGAGACCCTCCACCAGTCACGAACCTTCCCCCAGCCTCAGTTTGGGTGTCTGTAAAGTGGGGTTTGTGATGAGGATTCATGTGGGAAAACAACTGTTGCAATGCCTAGGACACGTGAATGCTGACGAAACATTTGTCGAGCCTCCGCTCCCTCTGGTGCCATCAAGCACATATGAGCGAAGAGCCCGCCGCGTGTCCTTCCCGTGGCAAGGCCGGTGGGGATTTGAAAGGAGCAACATACACGTTCTTTTTCTTTAATAACAGGCTTGTGGTCCTAGTAGGAAGACAGAATTGAAGTTCATTAATTTATACAAAGGTGGTGTACCATAAACTGCCTCCCAGCTCTGTCTGAGGTTGCCTTATTCCAGAAGCTTCCCAGACTGGCCACTCCGGCTGAAGGCCAGGGATCCCTGGCTTTCAGTCTTCATCAGGAGAGTGGAGGGCGCCCAAGACATTTGTCTTGTTTTCCCTGTTAGTCTTGTGGACTGAGCCCTACATCCCCGTCAGTGGACACTGATAGGAAGCCTGCAGGCTCCTGGTCTCCCCTTTTTCTGCATCTCATCCCCCTGCCTCTACCCTGGGGACAGCCAGAGAAATTGTTAGATTTTCTTTGCTCTCGCTGACCGCGTGCTCCTTGCAGTGGTTTCGAAAGCTAGCAGAGCGAGAGAGGAACGGAAATGTATTCAGTTTCCGGAAACTGAGTCCTTGAATGGTAAATTTAGCAGACCAGTGGTGCCCAGCTATGGAGAAGCAGAGCCAGATTCCATGGTCTTCCCACACAGGTGTCCTTTCAGAGACACACGTGGAACGATGGGCTGGCCGACGTTCACCGGCCTGGAATGACAGCTTGGCACTTTTTTGCGGAGCTATCTCCTCCTTGAGGCTGAGGCGGGCAGGGGCGGGGGGGGCTCTCCTCCGTTGAGAGATTGTTCGAGAGTCTCAGTTTCCACAGGGAACCTATGAATCATAGCTTGTGTTGATACAGGGTGAGAGGAGCAGCGTTCTCTCACCAGGCTGCTAGGGTGCACAGGTCCGAGCCGGGTGGTGCATGCGTCTGGCGCGGAAAGAATAATCGTCTTTGTTTTCTGTATGCATCGCATGATAATCTTTCTCCCAGAGAAGAGACATTTGTTTCCTGACCTGTGCTGAGTAAACCCTTCAGAGCTTTCCACGGAACAGAGACCGGTGGAGAGGCTTAGGGAGCGCCGTAGCCCGTGGGAATGGGGGCCGCTTCCACTTTCTCCCCTCACCCTTCCTGTGCAGGAGCTGACCCCAGTCCGCCTTCCTGCCCGGGTCCTTCCTTTCTTTCCCATGCCCTCTCCAGGGAGCCCTATTCCCAGGCATTACCTCTCATCCCATTTCCATTTGCCTCATGTCTGGGGCTGCCCACTTCTTTCCCTCCCTCCTCTCTCTAATTTTTCCACCCGGACTGTTGTTTCCAGATCTAGACTGTCTCACTCACTGACTTTGGTGACATAGATGGAAATGGGTAAGTCCTTCACTTCTCTTCTTCTTTCACTCCCTCTTCTGTGGCCTTTGACCTTCATCATGACCTTTTCCCCAGTGAACGATGTCCACATGAATGCCGAGGACACCTTAGCCTCCCTGACAGCCTGTGTCACCGTCCCCTTTAAAACCTCAGAACTTGAGACTATTAATACCTTCTTCTTTCCTTTCTGTTTTGATGTTCACCTCCTTTATAATTCTGCTTAAAACTCACCCCCAAGGAGGCTTCTCAGATTAACTGCACGCCGGTACTGACCGCTTTCTGCTTGTTTCCTGAGACCACCTGTGCAGGCTTGCAGGTCACTGTGTTTTTCCACCGCTTTGGTTTCCTGGTGGTCCGGGAGCTAGCTTACCCCTGAGGGTTAAGGGTGTTTTTCTCCCCCCTGCCCCGACTTGCCTCCTAGCACCCTACATGGAACTGTGGCAGAAGTTCACCCGAGTTAGGTTGTCTAGTTTAGAGAAGAGCTACATACTCTTCTCTGTTCTCCACTTCTCCTGAGTTCCTACAACTCGCTGTTCCTGGGTCTGTCTGGAGGAATTTTCTTGAGGTTTCGGGGAGTGGGGGATCAAGAGCCATAGTAAGCACTCTGCTGCCTCAGGCTCTTCCCTGTCCTCCTCAGGGCAGGCTCTCCCATCCCCAGAAGGAAACTGAGGTCCTTGGTGGTGGTAGATTTTGAGGAGACCAGGCTGGGGTGGCAGTCAGGGCTGTGGAGATCAGGGGAAGAAGAGAAGAAGGCACGGAGGGAGTTGGGGTGGGAAAGGGTGGGGTGGGGGCACACCAAGAAGCTTTGGCTTCCAACCAGGCCAAGGCCAGAGAAGGAAGGGCAGGCTGGATGGGGACAGAGGGGATTAGGTAACTCCTTAGAGCAGACTGTCTTGAGGCACAGAGCCAAGTCCCTGCGTACAATCTCAGAGGCCCCAGGCCCCAGACCCCCCGCCCCCAATCCCTCCATACACTGGGATGGACCTCTCCTTTAGTTAGTAATGTTTATTAGCACCTACTGGGTGCCAGATGTTCAGTCTTCTAGGCACGGGAGTTACAGCGGGGAACTAAGCGGACGCAAAGCCTTCCCCCTGGAGTGTGCGCTGGAAGAGAAGGGGAGCTGAGGCTGTCTGGGGGGACAGTCACACGTGGCTCTGCCAGTTTACAACTCCCAGGGCCTGAGCGGAGAGAGAGAATTCTGTGGTGGTGCCGGAGACATCGCAACCAGAACCCCTTTCCCGCCTGGGCTATTGGTGCCTGCCAGGGCAGCCGGCTTCCTTCATGTCTGGGACCTCTAAGAGGCGCCCCCCGGCCTGCCCACGGCCCCCTTCCCCCTGCATTCTGTGGCCATAACTGCCGTCCGGAAGGCACTAGATGTGCCAGTCACCCCCAAGAGACCACCAAGATTCACGACTCGGGACATCTCCTTGCTCACGGCCAGACCTCGCCTGATGTGCTCCCTTCTACAGCCGACATAGCCAGGCCTTTCCCTGGGGCCCAGACCTGATGGGCAGGTGCGTGCCTTGCGCACGTGGGCGGGCAGCCCTCAAGTCCCCTTCAGCCACTTTTAGCAACAAAATGGGGTGCTCTTTTCATTCAAGCTTGTGTTTAAGTGAAGGTGGAACAGCCCCTTCCCTCCACAATCAAGTTCTTCAGACACACCCAACGGACGTGCGCGTGCAAAGCATGAACACATGGACACACGTGTCTTAAGAACATTCACCAAACAGCAGTCTTGAGGCAACGTCGTGGCCACTGGGTGTGTCTGGGGAGAGAAGTGACGTGAAGGAGTAGAGTCGGGCCTTCGGAGCCCAAAGGAGCCTTAGCGATGAGGGGACCCAGGACAAGAACTGTCTGAAGGCGATGCGCCTGTCTGGTAGCCGAGCTGGAATCCTGGTTCCTTGTGCTGTTGCCCACATTTGCATTTCACAGCCCCCAGTGAGAAAGCACAGTTGGGGCCCCTCCGGGAGGGAGGGGGTGGTGCGAAGCCAGCGTCTCAAGGGCCCCCCTGCGGGCCCCCACAGAAAGCAGGTGCGGGGATTTAGACAAGAAAGCCTTGGCCTGCCACCTCTGACCACTTCAGTGGTTTCATTTGCTCCCCGGATCAGGGTGCTTCACCAAGTCTCTCTGGCTGGTACTGAGGGGGAGGTACCAAACAGGGTCACTGCTGGGAGAGGAAAGTGGGGGACGACCGGAATGCCCCTGTGGCTCCTCCCGGGCCTCTGTGAACAGAAGGTGCAATACCTAGGAACCCTGGCCAGGTGGCATGGCCAGGTGGGCACAGGCGGGGGGCGCTGGGTGATACCACTGCACTGCGGGAGGCTGTTGACCCCATCCACTGGCTCCTTCCAGGGCTCGGGGGTGCCGTCGAGGTCTGGGGTGTGTGTCACCAGCTGGGAACTAACAGCTGGAAGCCATGCAGGGCTCGGCACCGCCTCAGTGTCTCCTAAGCTTGGACATCACGGAAGCCCTTCCCTCCTTCTTGCCTTCCAGTGTCATCTCTCACTCCTGGCACTGCTGGCCGGAGCCTTCATCCAACATGCGTCTGTTCATTTGTTCGTTTATTCTTTCATCGAATATTTGTTGGGACCCACAATGTGCTAGGTGCTGGGCCATGACAGGGGAGGTGGTGCAGTCATCCCCACTGCCTCAAGGAAAGGAACCACTCTGATAGGGTGTCACCGTATGAATATGAG